ATAACCCGTGAAAAGGCTCTATCAGTATAAAGGAATAAAGTTCCCTGAAAGGTAATAGAACTATGAGTATTTTCTATTGGGTGGTCAATTTAGAGAAACATTATTCTGTCAAAAATGTCCCGGTCATTTCCTGATAAGTAACAGGAGAAAAATGCAGAAGTCTCGCCGCCATCCAACAATCTCATCTCTAATGGTGAGTTGGCTTTCTAATAATGTATTTGATGATATAAAAAACCTATAATAATAATAATAAGTTTATTTACGTAACATACAAATATAACTAAAGCTAACATAGGTGTACGTAAACAAACTGAATTTACACACAGAAGAATAAATTCTTGTGCGTGGGTATTAATTTACATTTTTACACAAATATACACATACATACAGGTATATATAAATACATATATATTCATATAAATAAATACATACATAGATGCACATACATATATGTTCATACACACATACATATATACACATATATACATATACATATACACATATACATATACACACCTGTACATATATATATGTACATACACACATATACGAGTATATGAACTTTGAAGGGTTCTTATTATTACATTAATTTTGAATGTCTTTCATACGTATCATGTTTGCAATTTGATGTAGATTTTTTGTTTCAATTTTGAATTTTGTTTTATTTGAAATATTTCTTATGTATATATATATATAATTTACAAATAATTGTATATATATATAATTTGGTAATATGTTATATAATCTACTGGAATGGTAAGTATGACATCTTTGGCCTACACTTTTTGTGAAAGGTGTTTGTTTTATGTTGTTGATTTTGTGTCTAGTTTGATATAGGTGATCTAACGGAATAAGATTATTTCTATGGTGAAATTGACAATTTATAACTTTAACTGCCTAGGGTCTAATAGTTTTGCTTCAGAATACAACAGATCAGATGGGTCTAAGAGTGGCTTGTCAATGATTATTTTTAAAAATTGTTTTTGAATAATTTCTATTTTATTAATTTGGTTATTAAGTGCTCCGCCCCAAAATAGTATTACGTAACTTATACGACTTCCGATCATAGCATGATATAAAATGTTCATTGTTTTTTATCCAAATATTTGTTTAGATACTTGAATTTAAACAATAGTGGTCTCAAATTGCTTATTACATGATCAATATGTATATTCCACTTTAAATGTGAGTTTAAATATACACCTAAATATTTTATTTTGTTTGTTAAGTTTATTTGAGTATTTATATTATCACATTTAATCTGTATAGATACAAAGGATGGTAATTTGTTTCTGTGATTTGTGAATGGCATGAACATAGTCCTTTGAAAGTTAATAGTTTTAGGTATTTATGTCTGAACGGGCCTGCAATTATTGTTAAGTCTCTTTCAACCTTCACTTTTAGATTATCCCACGAGTTATTATCAGAATAAATGATAGCAGTATCGTCTGCAAAACATATGATTGTCCCTTCAGATTTTAAGCTCAGCAGGCTATTAATGTGAAGTGTAAATAAATAATAATGGCCTAACACTGTCCCTTGTGGGACACCATAGGTTATCAATTTGTTTATGCTTAAGGAATTATTTATTTGTACGCACTGTGTTCGGTTGGAAAGGTAACTTTTCATGAGGTTATAAGCCTTGCCTCTAATTCCTGATTCGTGCAATATTTCTAATAGTAGCAAGTGGTCTACTGTGTCGAATGATTTTGCTAGATCTAAAAACACACATATGGTATATTCACTTTGGTCCAGTAATTTGTATAATTTTGATGTCAAAAAAGAAATTGCGTCTTGGGTAGACTTGTTTTTCTGGAATCCAAATTGTTTTTCATTAATCATATTATGTTTATCGAAAAATTTAGAAGTCGTGTTTTTATAATTTACTCAATAATTTTTTCAAAGCTGGATATTAGAGTTATAGGCCTGTAATTGTTAGTATCTGTTTTTTTACCGGATTAGTGAATGGGTTTTACTACTCCTACTTTATAATCATCTGGAAATTCTCCCGATTCAGTTAACAAGTTCGCTATGTACTTCAAGGGCTTACTGATTTCGGATGAAGTTTTCTGATTTCTGATCGTGTACCATCAAGACCTGGGCTCTTTTACTTCTCAAACTGCGTATGGCATTTTTTGTTTTATTCCCAGATACAGGTTCTAAGAAAATCGATTATTGTATACATTTTCTAGGCGGAATATTTGTGTTAGGTTTATTTATTTTCATTGCTAATTTTTTCCCTACTTCTATTGAATGCATCAGCAATACCCCTACTTGTGTTAAGTGTTGTACTATGGATGTTTATTTCTTCAATCTTTGTTTCAGGTTTGGATGAATTACATATCTGATTTATGGTATTCCATAGGATTTTAGAGTCAGATTTATTGTTTTGTAGTTTTTCTGTTTAATATTTTTGTTTCAAAATGTTGATCAATTGGCAGAGTTTAGTTTTATAGTACAAATAATTTTGTTTTGTTTCGTATGTTGGATTTGTCTTATATAAATTTCTCGTTTTTTTCATTGATAGATTTAATTAGTCCAGTAGTTACCCAGTTTTTTCTTGGACTGTCTACGATTTATTTTAATTTTCTTGGTATTTTTTTATATACTTTCAGTGATTGTTGTAGTCAGATGTTTAGTTGCTGCGTGAACATTTCTTATATAATATATGTTAAGTAGTTCCAGGTTTCAGATTTTAAGTCTATTATTAATTGTTCAAAGTCTATATATTCTTTATACTTCGCTTTATTAGGGTTAATATGTACAAAATCTTCAAGGTTGAGAGGTAGAGTTGATACTGTACTATAGCGGTCAGAAATATCTGATTTTATTACGAAAGCTTTATAATCATGAATATCTTTTTTCTTCTTAAAAAAATGTGGTCAAAACAAGTACATGAGGCGCCAAGCACTCTAGTCGGAATATTCATAATTGAGATGAAGTTTAGTATAGACAACATGTTAAGATAATCATGAACAACCAAATTGTTACTATATAAGCTGTTTAAGTTGAAGTCTTCATTTAAATGTATAATTTTGATGATAACGTCTTCTTGAACTCAATTAGTAAACGCCAAAGCAAACAGCTAAAGCTGTCGAAAAGGTAATAGAACACATTCCTCTGGTTATTCTATTTTTCTCGCTATCTACGAGTAGAATTAGCGACCAGCTTTCCTGTGTGGCACATAAATGCCAAAACTGATCCCTGGGGAACACCGGTGCTGGTATTGTGGGATCTACAGGAAAGCCCATCACCCTGAAAACATTATAAGAGTTCTCTATTGATGTACTCCTCAATCTCTTTACCGATCTCACACTGCAAAGTTTTAGTCACTCAAGAAGGCACCAAAAGCATAAAAATGGGAGACATTATAAGAGTTCTCTATTGATGCACTACTCAATCTCTTTACCGATCCCGCACTGCAAAGTTTTAGTCACTCAAGAAGGCACCAAAAGCATAAAAATGGGGCCTATCACCCGTATAGCACATGAATGCCAAAAGTGATCACGGGTGAGCACCTGTGCTGATATTGTGGGATCTACAGGAAAGCTCACCACCCTAAAGACATTATAAGAGTTCTCTGTTGATGCACTTCTCAATCTCTTTACTGATCTCACACTGCAAAGTTTTAGTCAGTCAAGAAGGCACCGGCAGCAACAAAGTGGTGCCTGTCACTTTTGCTAGAATCAAGGATGCGGTCAGTAGACACAAGTTAAAAACTTCTTGCTTTGTGCTTAACGATGATGGCGAAATTCCTCAAGCCAATTTCCAGAAGTTTTGAATGACCAAAGATTTTCAGTTATCTTCGCATTAACTATCGAGGCGATGGTCTAAAATTAATAAGTCGCAGCACATTGTAACAAAATCCCTGCAGAATAGTTCCTAGAGCCGCTCACGTTCGGTATCTAGATAGATGTCGCACAAGACCCAGTTTTACGGCTTCATAAAGCGTGTAAAAGCGGCAGCAAATGGAGACAGGCGTTGCCTGGTGCGCGATATGGGTCAAGCTGTAAAAGTTACGATGAATAAATGTTTATCGACGTAGCCATTACCCAATACACGGTATCTGTTCGATGCGATGTCTCACGCTGAAGTGATGATGATGGCCCCTTGATGGATCTTGATTGGAGACCCAAAGTATGCTATCACGGCTACGGTGATTTTGCTCAAAATGTCTAGCTACTGTCATTGACATGGATAGCAAGTTTCCAACATACTTATGTACATAACTTGCAGGTATAAAGTTGCCACGAGAACTTGAGGGCAACCAACACGATAAAATTTGGAACAAGGCAATATGAATATGGTTCGAACATACTTTGTTTTCACTTTTAGACTTGTCAAAATTTGTAGTTGCCGTTACACTTCTTGAAAGCAAATCTGAGATACTAGAACGTGTTACTGACACATTGACATAAATCTTCATGTCTTCCTGCCAAATGAACGGGTACAAAATTGTTCTCTAAAACACTTACGTCAGTGGCGTTTTTGCCGCTGTTGGATTTCAGAAAAAAAAGTAGTATCTCAAAGTTTAATTCTGTTAAAAACTGTCTCTTGCGGCTTTCCGAATTATAATTTCATTAAGTAATGCCAGATTTGGCGCTTATTTGTTGGGCATAATTAAAAACACCAAGAGGCACTTCTCGAGCAAGATCGATATGGCTTTGAGAGAACGATACTCATTTTTGCAGCAGCCAGTGTCGTACATTTTTTAATCATATAATTATAAGCGTGATTTAAAAATGTATAATGTAAAATGAGATCACGTGAAAATCATGTTCTATCCAATCAGCAGATAAATGATATAATATGAATTGCATTGCAATGATACCATTATTATAGAGACTATATGTTTGAACTTAACCGGTACCAACTACCTTTTAATATGCTGACCTGAAGCTTATCTGAAAACTGGACGTCAAAACAAAAACCGTGAGCCTGCAGAATCGTAATACTATTCATCGTCAATCCTCAGCCAGCAGTAAGTTAAATTGACAATACGAGGGATGTCTTTTAAGTTTTGCATATGGAAATAAAACAAGACGGTAGCTGGTTTTAAATGACTTTACTGTTTTTCGAAGTATTCTCCACGAAGATTAATACACATCTGCATGCGCTCGAACCAATTTCCGAAGCACTTATTCCACTCGTTTGCTGGCAGATCCAAAACGGCATTTCTGAATGTGTCAACTGCTTCTTCTGGTGACTGGAACCTTTGACCACGCAGTCTGATTTTAATTTTCGGGAAAGTAAAGAAATCGTTAGGACTTAGATCGGGACTATATGGAGGATGGTCCAATAATTGCACGTTTTCTCCTGTTAAATACTGCCTTGTTATTGGGCTTTGAGCCTGCATTGTCTTGGTGGAGGATGATTCTTCTTTCGAGGTTGATTTTTCGAAGCTCGGTGATGACTTTTGGCAAACCTATCCGCAATAACAGTTCTTTGCTCATTAACAGGAATTGTTGCAATATGACCCGCTTTTGACACAAATGTCGCGACCTTCTTTTTCGAACCACTTCGAGAGCGGATGACTTTTGTTGGCTTTTCTTCACCTTGGAACACCCAAACATCCGACTGTCGTTTATTTTCTGGTTCATAACAGTAAATCCACGATTCATCACCACTAACAATGCTGTACACATTTTTTGTGTTTCCGGAATTGAAACGGTCAAGCGTTTTTTGACACCAATTAACCCTGGCTGCTTTGTGCTCTTCAGTCAACAGGTGGGGTATCCAACGAGAAACTAACTTTCTTCATATAAAATTTTTTGAATTGAGGTCTTTGAGATCTTCAAGGACGCCTCAATCTCGCGATATGTCACATGTCTATCTTCAATGATGAGTTTGCGCACAGCATCCACGTTTTCCTGGGTGACTGCCGTTTTTGGTGCACCTTGGGATCGTCGCTAAGACTCACCCGTCCACGTTTGAATTCTCCATACCAATGTGAAATTGTCGACTGATGTGGCACTTCGTTGCCGAAAACAGACAGTAACTCAGCAAGGCATTCTTGTTGCGATAATTGTCTCTGAAAGTTGTAATAAATTATGGCGCGAAAATGTTCTCGGTTGAGTTCCATTTTTCGAATGACTTGGTGACACTTGAAAATTCACTGTAGTGAGAACACTGCACGTATTGTTGTGAAACTTTGAATTTAAGTTTACTAAAGGGTGAGGTTAAGATTCAGTACTGACATTCGATCCGCGTTTCTATATGCAAAACTTAAAATACATCCCTCGTACTAAACGTTTGGTTAATACTAAATAAAACTAAAGCACATCCAATACTCGCGTTTGGATTTTTTATAGGAGAACAGTCAAAAGTGGTTCACAGAGTCTAGAAGTGGCAAAGTCAATTTCAACAAAAATAATCAACTATCTGGCAACACTGCCTGCATCCCCGCCAAATAACAAGTGGTTAGATCCCATCTTTTCAGTTAGGCACTCATCCTATCGTGAATATTCTTGGTATAACTACTGTTTTGATGCGTTCCCTACCTGATTCCAATGGCTCCCAGAGGAATTTACCCAGGGGTGGTTACACATCATTAGACGAATATCATACAGAATCAATAAATATATCATTTTACCATATGTATTCAGGCAAGACAATTCTTGGATAGCTTTTTATAATGAGTAAAGTAGATGAATCGAATTTTCCTTTTGTGCCCAGAATGCGAAGTTCTCAATTCTTCAGAAGGACACCCTCGTGGTTTTGTGAATTTGAGCGATTTTATACATTGCCCGTATTTACACCGCGGAAGGCTAAGCTCAGGGATGTGCCACTCTGTACGTTAACAACATTATGTGCAATATAGTGCAACACTAGTTTAAATTAGCTGATGCTGCGCTATCTCTTGGAACGATCCGATATAAACACACGGTGCATTATGGTTATAGAGAGATTATAACAATCCTTTTTTTTTTGATGAGTATGTCCAAATATGCAATAAAATATTTATCTTTATATACAATACGATGGCTGTAGAAAACGTAAATTTGATGTCATTCTTTTTCTTTTCAGCTGCCTACCACGTCCACTCATTCGACTCCCACCTGCGCGGACCATCGTTCGTCATGGAACCACCCTCTCGTCTGGAATTCTCCAATTCGAGCGGCGGTTGGCTGGACTGTTCGGCCAGTGGCAGTCCACAGCCTCAAGTAGACTGGCTGGGAGCGGACGGCCAACCTGCGGGTGACGTCCCTGGAGTACGAAGGGTGCTGAGGAACGGAACCCTGTACCTGATGCCGTTTCCTGCGCACGCGTATAGGCAGGACGTACACAGCACCATCTACAGGTGTATGGCCAGTAATAGCGTGGGCAGGGTGCTCAGCAGGGACGTACAAGTTAGAGCTGGTAAGTATTGTTTCTGCTTATGGATACTAGGCTAGATAAAGTCTGCAGCATTGGTCAACTAAGAAATTTATCTTTTCTATACAGTTTTTCCAGAATATCGGAAAAAATTCAAGGCTGATTCTTAAGATTATTTTTAGACTATTTTCTTCGTCGACGATTTTCAAAATATCGCTTCGTTTCAGATGTGCTGACCCTTAAAAGAACCTCAACGAAAATCAGTTTTGCGTTTTTAATAACACTTGCACTATAGAATCTAACAAAAATTTAACAGCACAATAATTGGTTGAAGTCTGCAAAGATGCAAGGAAATGACACTGCTACCCATGTGTATTCAGCCAAGCGCGGTATTACCAACCCCTACCTAGGTAGCAGGAGTAGTTTGTGAGTATCTCTGATTGACAGTGTGCTTCAGTGGACCAGACCGCATAGGTGTCTCATCAATCAGGGGAGAACTGAATTCTTACCATGGTACAAGCTTTGACGTACCATGCAGAAGATTCATGTACACAGGTTGGATATGATCTGTTTGTCTTCCATTTCTGTTACCACAGCCAAGTATATACAAGAATTGCTACACGAATTGTTGACCCATATTTTGTAAATACCCTGTATAATTACTCGTGCAGCCTCATAGTCTAAGTACCGTGACCGCTATGGCGAGACTTTAAAGTCTTTGTTCTGCTCGATTCTTTCACTCTCTGGATACTTGAAAAATAAAAGAGCTATTGTATCAACATAATATCGATGTCGAAACATTTAGCATGAGACTCATCACAGCCCGCCTGGCACCCACTTCTCTTCCTGTCACTGCGTATTCGCTGCATGCACCACGACGTCGCCACCTAACGAATGTCGAACAGAAATACTTGTGCTTTTTTTGTGAGGGGGGAATGCGTTTATGCACCTTACCATAGCCAGAGCTACGGCGTGTGTAGGACTCCAGGTTGTCTTGAGGAGATCACCTAATACCCACTAAACCCTAACCTCCGCATGCCCCGACTCATCAGCGTCTCGGTAAGGCCATGTGTTGTGCGTGACCTGCGGTCTGCTACAACGTCTTCTCATGTGTTTTAGTCTCTGGGAACGCCGCGTTGGTTCCCTTTACCTCGCACAGTTCTATCGATGTCGTTAAGCGAGCATCGATAGAGGGTTTGCTATGTTCTCTTGAAACTCTTGTGTTCGAAAAATCAAGAGTTTCAAGTCCTCTACTTGTTTGTTACCTGGTCCTGGTTGGTCCTGGTCCTGATGGGTCCTGGTCCTGATGAGTCCTGGTCCTGGTGGTTCCTGGTCCTGGTGGGTCCTGATCCTGATGGGTTCTGGTCCTAGTCGTCTTGGTCCTCGTCCTCTGCTTCCACGCCGTGGGGGGGAGGGGGGAGAGCAACCGTGAGTACTCCTAGTCAAGATTCCAGTTAGCGCCTGCCAACTGTGACTTGGGTCTAGGGTACTTGGCTCTGCGGTTGCGAGCCCTCTCGTCAGGATCGTAGTCCATGAGGAGTCGTAGCTGCTCGTTCGGGTGTCCTGAGCTTTCTGGAAGGTCTTCTCCGCTTTTTTCCTCATGTACTCGTGATTGGTGTTCCAATGCAGGTCTCTACGCAAGGTTGAGTTTCTTACATAGGATGGTGCACTGGTGGCGATCCGGAGTAGCTTCATCTCCAGAGCAGCAAGTCGCTTGCGGTAGCTGGGAGCAGCGTACCCCCAGTCCGCGGAGGCGTAAGCGAGCTACTTGTGCTTGACTGGTGCAGATATAATTGATATCGAATCATCCGCACAGGCCGAAGCCTAAGTACCATGAAACCGCGGCTTAAAGAAACTTTGTTAATCCGATTTTTGAACTGCCTAAGGTTAGTCGAACTGGGAAAGACCTTCTCAGGCAGATTGTTAGACAATTTCTATACCCTAAGAACAAAGGAGCGGCCGTATTGGAGATGTCTGGATGTACGAAGTTCGACACGGTTATGATGGAAAGCCATAGTTTGGCGGGTCTGTCTGTTAGGCACATCGCGAGGCAGCGTCATGGAGAACAGCTCTGAGGAGCAAAGCGCTAGGTCATCGTCGGTCTGAACAGGTTCCGTGGCTGTTAGTTAGAGAAGAATCATCGATCAGTCTAACAGCCCTCCTTTGTAGAGAATCAAGCATGGATAATGTAGTCAGGCTGGCAGCACCCCAAACATATGAGGAGTACCGGAGGCTAGGTCTTATCTGTACAGAATGAGGAGGTCGTGATGAGAAAGGTACTTCTTGGCTCTGAACAAATAGCCCAGCTTTTTCCAGGCAGGTGCCGCTATTGTCATAATGTGTTTGTACCAGATCAAGTCCTCGGCGATCTGGACTTCAACCAGCCGAAATGAATGGCTCTTTAGCAGAGCTCGGCCATCCATCGAAACCGGATGAGCGCTAGGGTGCTTTGTGTTAGTCAAGTTATGGTGCTGCTTTTTGGAAGCATCAAACTGACCAGACCGTTACGTCCCTCACTCTGAATTCCTGCATGTGGAGTACTGTCTTTAGCAAAGCGGTGGATTGGATTTATCATTCAGGAAAAGAGTTCGTGGGTATATAAGAGGAACTTAAATGGATGTCAATGAAAATAACAAGACATTTAGTTGATTTGAAATTCGGAACAATCTGAATTTCAAACAGACATTTTTCTTTTGAGCTGACAAATGGTGAAAGTGAAATATTTGCACCTGGCCAAGCCCTAGCTGAGACCCCACATGATACACATTATATCATATTTCAATATGAGGCCGAAGATGTACCCCTGTTTGTCCACCGCATGCGCTGCGTTCGATTTCATTCCCCTGCCATGCACGTCGCTCCAGACACAAAAGCAACCACTTGTACATGCTTCAGCTAATATGGTACCTAAAATTAATATCCTTCACCGAAAGGGTCTGCGGGCATTCAGGCCACAATTTCTACTATCAGGCTATCCATGCATTATCTACCGACCCGTCAGAGGTAAAGACAATCATGTGTCTCATACGACTGCATCTCCATCATATCCGGATTATTTCAGTGCTCGACATGGACCAAAGCCAGATGCGATTACAAAGCAGATGGAAGCATGTGCTGCTACCACTCGTCCAGTATCCAGGATTTCTGTTAGTTAAAAGCTCGGAACAGACTGGAAATTGTCATGAACAATTACAGTCCCCTCTTGACTTTGAGCCCTGTATGGTTATTATGTAAAAAAACCCATAAAACGTCAAAAAAAACAACAAAATTTCATCTTGCAGAATACTTAGTTTTTAGGGTGCTAATAGTTCAATCCACGTTTGCTCGCTATGATCGCTGTGAGCGTCCATCTATGGAGGAATGACTCAACTACACGCATTGTTTGTTGCAGAAAAATAGTATATATTTTGTGAAGCCGAATAGTCTGTACAGTGTTTATCTCTGAGAGGATATGAAAGAAAGAAAGTTGGTTGAGTAGCAAGATCGTATCTGGATGATTATGTGCGTTGGTCTCCATATGTATAGAATCACTGATATTAGCTACGAAAGAAAATTATTACTGAATATGGTGCCAATGAAGTATATCTATTAGCTGTGGCGGACGGAATATTTTTATGTTGTCCTTTCTGAAGACCGGTTACGTTTAAAGTTGCTAGAAAAGCAAGCCCTCTTATCTTCAATTATTCCTTGCCCAACCACACCTTAAAGAGGTGCAAGGACATTAAGGACCTGGGGGTTTACATGCAGTCCGATTTGAAGTTTACTGCACATTATGATTTTATTGTTAACAAAGCACTTAAAAAACTGGGATTTATTAAACGAAACTCTACCAGTCTGAACATTGCCACTCTAATTAAATTGTACAATGCCTTAGTAAGGCCTCACCTGGAGTACGCCTCAGTGATTTGGTCTCCACTGGCTGGTTGTCATAGTGTTGAGCGCATACATAAGAGATTTATTAGATCCATTTATGTTAGAGACAAGAACATCTATCCATATATGGTTTCTTGTCGAAGTATGCTTGACTCGTATCAATTGCATAAGCTTACCTGTGGCAGGATACAGCAGTCTATTATTTTTATATACTACTTAATAAATAATATTAAATTCCATAAATGTAATCTTCTGAATTTTGTAGCTATTGTTGTTCCCAAGGTGATTCTTAGGTACAAAAGAGATACATTTTTTAATATTAAGTACCCTCCCATGAGTCATGTGTTAATGCTTTGCAATGAGCTATTTAAAAAAACTGATATTGACTTTTTTCATTCAGACGTGAATTCGCTTAAAAACTTAGTGTCATTAACAGATCTCACTAGGTCTTAGTCTAAGCAGCTATTGGTGGTTGTTTTATTGTTTTATTATTTTATCTTATTTTGCCTGTGATGAATTTTACTGAAACTGATTTGTATCTTAGTATCATAAATGTGATAACTTTTTTTTTAATTTTAGTTTTCCAGTTCTAGTCTTGGCTCATCTAAAAGTTATATTTCATTGTTGCCTCGCGTTGTTTTACTCTAGTTTTAAGTTTTCTTGCATTCTAATTACTCTAGGGTGTTTTGTGAGACTTTAAGCAAATAAATAAATAAAAGTTATAAATTACGATTTTTCCCTTTTCTGTGTTTTTAAAATAGGAATGTCGCATCTCACTTCAAACATTTTCACATCTAGGCGCTGTCTGGTATTTTCTTATGACATCGCAAAATAAATTTATATAAAATTATGACTGGAAATGAAAAATAATGTAATAGCCTTGTCACTTTCATAAGTGTTCCTTGTCTGTAGCATATTTTCTCACTTGTTACTTCACCAACCTGGGATCTTCTCTCCTTATTCCTAAATTCAGCAAATCTGTATATTTGATTTCGAGAATCAATAAGAAAAAGTGGATGAATAATTTCTAACTTTTAATCTCAAGTAAGTGTATTTGAGACAAGAAACCAATGGAATTATCATCAACACGTATTATTAACATATGAACCTAGGCACTGCCGTTTCCTTCCTGCTATAGTATACAACTTACAGCTTAGACCACCAATAATTCC